CAGGAAATGAACGAGACGTAATTAATCATTCTTTCGCAGGCTTTTCCCAAGCAGCTTGTGAGTGCAATGGGACGGTAGCTATAGTTGGTTGAGAAGAATCCTCACCAGGTTTCAGAAGAGCGATTACATGTGCTCTTTTCCAAACCTCGGGGAAAGCAGAGCAGTGCCACAATGAGTTATAAAAGGTCAGCAAACTGCCTAGAGAATCAGGTGACAGGTGTCTCAGCATCTCACAATGAATATTGTCTGGTCCAGGAGCAGATTGTTTCTTTACACTGAGAGACACTTCGAGCTCAGAGAGTGTAAAAGGCGTGTTGTACGGAGCGTCACGAGCCCCAGACAAAATGATTGGTTGTTTCTCTGCTGTCAAACTGAACTTTTTAAATGCTTCACTGCAGTTGCGTAAACTAGAAACGTCTTGGAAATGTTCCCCAAGAACATTCGCTTCATCTTTCAGGGACGTTGAAGATGATGCAGGGAAAAGTGGAATTCTGAAGGGTAAGTAGTCACCCCTAACCTTTCTAAGCCGATCCCACGCTTCTTTTGCAGGTACAAAGCTACTTAAGGACGTCAAATACTTCCTCCAGGAGCTTCCCTCCGCCTGGCGTCTTGTCCAGCGAGCTTTAGCTCTTCTTTTCTTAAACTCAGGTAAGTTCCTAGAAGTTGGATATCTACGAAAGACGCACCAAGCTTTGTTCTGGGACTTTCGTGTTGTTTTACAATCATCATTCCACCAAGGCTTGCATCTTTTAGGAAGACGACCAGACGTTTGAGGAATACTCCGTGTGGCAGCGCCTATTATAACCTCTGTGACATACAGTGTTCCTTCGTCTGGGTTCATGTTCGAGATTATAGAAGAATGGATTAGTGCCTCCAATTGAAAGATGGACCGATCTGCCTTGTCTAGCTTCCACCGAGGCATTTGCGTTAAAAGAGTCGGAAGAGAGACAGTACTCCCTAAAACGATAGGGAAGTGATCGCTCCCAAGAGGATTACTAAAAACCTTCCATGAAAAGCATGGAAGTAATGAAGGTGAAGTAATAGAAAGGTGAATAGATGTAAATGAGTTGTGAGCAGAACTAAAAAAAGTAGGTTCTTTCCCGTTAAAAATACACAAGTTAAATGATAATAAAAACCACTCAATTACTCGGCCTCGAGAATCAAGGCGAGTACTGCCCCACATAGAGTGATGAGCATTAAAATATCCTAAAATTAGGAAGGGTTGAGGGAGTTGCCCTACAAGCCCTTGAAGTTTGTGAAGTTGCAATGGAACGTTTGGTGGCAAATAAATGGACACCATTGCTATGAGGCGGTCTAAAAGAAGGCGTACCGCTACAGCTTCGAGCGGTGTGCAAAGAGGAACCACCGAGGAGGCAACCCCACTCTGCACGACCACTGCTACCCCACCAGAACTGGTATTTGAACGGTCTTTGCGGAACACTTGATGATGTCGCAAAATTTGTGCATGATGTGTTTGAAGATGAGCTTCTTGTAAAGAAAGGGCAATTGGCCGAAGCTCATCCATAAAATAATTAACATCATCGATGTTGGGTAAGAGACCTCGACAGTTCCATTGCATAAAATGCAAGTTTCTCATTTAAGTAAAAAAGTACACAAATAAATTAATAAAAAGGGAAGAAAAAGAAAAGGAAAATTAATGCTCGCGATTAAAGAGCTAAATCGGTATAATCTATTTGGGAGCAGTCACAGGCTTCTTCCCTTTCGATTTACGGTTTGAAGTTTGCCACTCCATGTCTTCATGGTCAGACGCAGGAGTAGCCTGGTCCATCGCCCCTACCTCCTCGGACGAGACTTTTCCTAGAGTTTTGGGTAGGTCCGCAGCGCGGGGTGGAAAACCCCGTCTACGACCACCTCCCACTGAAGAGGCAGGGGAGATACTGGGCGTGATATTGCCCGAGTCCCTCTGTTCCTGCCGCTGAGATCCTGAAGGGGCAGCCCGATGCTGCCCTTTGGATGAGGAGGACCTCTCCAGCGAGTTTTGGCGAGAGTGTCGCTCCTCACTGGAGGAAGTCCTCAAACCACGGACAGGCATTGCCTGCCCATTCTGACTCCGGGAGTCAGCTGGTGTGCTTCCCCCCGAAGCTGGAGGTTTCTTCGGTGAGGAAGCCCTCTGCTGAGAGGAGCGAGGAGCTCGCTCGCTCTCTTCCAAGGACGACCTGCGAGGTGTGAGCAATGGAGTCACCTCCATTGCCTCAATGGCACCCGAGTCTTTGGAATGACCGGGTGCCTCTGCTGCCTTGGCAGCCGAGAGGGAATGCCCAGGAAGAGAAAGCTTCAACCTGGGCGTGGAGGACTGGAGCGGTTTCCCAGGGTTCCCAAGGGACACCTGGGTTGCCAGTGATACCTTGGACGGCGCAGGTCCCCTGCTGGACACCGCCTCGGCAAAAGAGCCCCTCTGGAAAGCGGAAAGGCGACGCTTTGCATCTTGGTAGGTTATGTTCTCTTTAACCTTAAGTGCAAGGATCTCTTTTTCCTTTTTGAAAAGCTCACGTGATCTGGAGTAGGCAGGATGGTTGCCACTGCAATTGGCACATTTGTTTTCAGCTTTACCGGCCATCAGCGGTATGGTCCCTGCCACCACACCTGGCGCATGTCTCACGACCGCGGCAAGTGCACGATCCGTGACCGTACCGCCGGCACCGAAAGCAGCGGAGTGGGTTTGGGACGTAAGGTCGCACCTTGCAGTTAATGTAGCCTGCCTTTATAGATGGAGGCAAAGTGTGCCTCCCGAAGGTCAAAACGACGTGTTTAGTGGGTCGTTCCTCACCATCTCGACGGATTGTGATGCGCTTTGCAGCAACAACTCCTTGGGATTGCAGACCTTCTACAATTTCTTCCTGGGTACTGTCCATCAAATCGTCTTCCGAGATCACACCGCGGATGGTGTTCAGTGTTCGATGAGCTGACACTGTCACTTTGAAGTCTTGGATCATTTGGAGATTTGCCAAAGCACTAGCTTGGTATTTCTCGTAAACCTCCACAAGGTGACCTGAGAAGAGCTTTTTGGCTTCATACTTTGCTCCTAGCGTGCCTCGAAGCACTTTGGCAACAAGGAACGGAGACAGTTTTGAAAGTGGTTTGGATGCGTCGTCGGAGTGAAGAACAAAAAATCTTGTAAAATGGTCGTTTACATTGTCCTTGGAAAGAAATGTTGGTAGAGCTTCGGTGCGGCTCCTTTTCAGGGCCCGATCGTTGGGTTTAGTTTTAGAACCCATATAGATGGGGAAGGAAGTTCAGTGCCCGGGTGCACTGCCCACCACGGAGCCCAAAGAGGGGGTAGGTAATGTGCCATAACAAGAAAGGCTTGGCTGACACAATTACACTACCAGTGCTGCCCGGGCACTATAACCGAGTGTGGATGCAGGGAGAGGACCTGTTTCCACTCAAGGTTAGCCCTTGCCGCCTAAGAAGGTGAAAAAGGAAGGAAGAGAGTGTAGAAGAAAAGAGAAAGAGGTGGAAGGAAAAGTGAAAGAAGGAAGAAGAGGGTAGAAGAGGCGACTGACTGAATCATCCTGGTCGGGCCAAGCCAGGACAACTGTGTACGAGAAGCAGGGGTCGAAGCGGTGTATTGCCTCGACCGGGGGGCCCCGAAGGGTCCAAACATACCCCGGGCTCAGCTCCACCACCAGGGTCCCCTTTTCCCCGGACACGGGTACGCCACGCACAGCCAGACGTGGGCGGGCGAACCCACATGGCTCGGGGTTCGTAGTGACGCCTTTCACCAAGCACCTACAAAAGTAGGTGCCCCCTGCGTGCGGGTATGGTGGCCCACGTGGCTGGGGTCCATGGTGACGCTACTCACCAAGCACGTAGCACCCAAGGTGCAGGCGCCCCCTGCGGGGCTCGGGGTCCGTGGAGACGCCACTCTCCAAACACCTGCTTTCACAGGTGCCCCCTGCGGGGGCTTGAAAGCATGACGTTACCTCCATCAAAACATAATTGAGAAACAAAATTTCTCCGAACCGACGTCTACCTAAGCATAATGTTGTTAGAACAAGAAATGACACTCATGTAGCATCTATTTTAGCGGAAAAAAAACTAAAAAAAAAACTTCTCAGCAAGAAAGAGGATATTGTTTTCTTTCTTGCTGACAAGTTTTTTTCACTAAAATTGATACTACAGGTGCCCAGTGTCATTTCTTTTTTTGACAATATTAAGCTTACCTGGACTTTGGCTCCTAGAGAAATTTTTTTTTTAATAGCCTTTTGATCCAGGCAATGTCACGTTGTCAAACTTTTGCATTCTATCCCAAAAACCACCGTCACATTGTCACGAAGTTTGAGCTTTATGCGATGCTTAGTTTATTTACCCAAGCTGAAAAACGTGGTTCTTGTTTCTAGGGAACTCCTGGTACTTTATTTCAAGCATGTTGTGCTTGGTGTACTCCCATTATCAACCAGTTATTAAAAACGGAAGCTGACTACGTCTCTGCTGTGAGGCGTCAAAATTATTTTCTCCGAAAGATAGCTCCTTGTGGAACAACCTTCAAATCATGGTGGCTCTTCCAACTGGCGACTAAAAATTTACGCAGAAACACGTTCTCAACATATATTTTTTACGGATGTCATATCTGGTTTGATATGAATCAACGTCGTCCAAGCTTGAGTCCGTGTGACCATTATAAAATTTCCATTTGTGCTGCAATGACCAAATTGTCCATCTAGCGTATCTTATAGAGTCTCAAGCGAAGAGAGAAGCTGCGTCATATACCGTGGAAGACGGAACTCACGTTTGCAAGTGAAATAAACGCTATCATCATCATCACTTCAGCTTAGCCTCGAACAGTACATTGTGGCAATGCTGCAGTGCCCTTTCTGTCAAATGCTTTCAAACCCGGGTGCCGCGCGCACTGCAAACCGGTTGCGACATTGCAACTCGCTGGCAAGTATGGCGTTGGAGATGGACGACAGCGTATTCGACATGCTGAAAGTTTGTTGGACAGTGAAATGATTGATCGAAAATTGAATACAACGCCCAACCTCCTGTTGTCATCTGCGGCCGTGGGTTGATAGAGATCGGAATATTTTTGGCTGTGGCGTTCTCCCCCATGTCGCAATGGTAAACGTGCACGAATTAGCAGAAAAGATCCATAACCCGTGTGGTGGTAATATATCCAAACTCTGCAAGTGTAAGTAGTTATAGCGCGCCATCAACTAGTTAAATTTGAAACCGCAAATATGTACAGCCCGGCGACTCGCCGGCTTTGGCAATTAGGTATCTGCAGGCGCGACCGGGATGCACCAGCTTTGTTAGCGAATGGACTAGCGAGCGTTTGACCTTCAGCCATTTTCCGAATTTTACTACACGGCAACGTTGCAAGAACACTCAGATGGGAAACTCACCGCTGAGACCTGGGCCCCTGGCGTCCACCGAGACCGAGCTAAATGCGACAATTTCGCCACTCTTAATCTTCTTTTTTTTACTGTGGTCACCTTCAGCTTGCAGAAAGCATGTTAATGCGTAAGAACAAACAGAAAAAGCTTTTTTTCTTGTAAATTCTATTAGAGTTTAGTACCAAATGACGTGCGCGTGATCTTTTCTAATATCTTTAGCTTCAAGGTTTTGCAGCACAATTAATATTGTTTTTATACAACCTTGCCTGAGCGGTGATTTCTTTCAGGTAGAGCGTCCCGACCTTGGTGCATCGCATCCTAAGAGAGTGGTTTTATAGTAACGTTAATACACGGTTTCCTAGGCAATATGGAGCTCGAAGCCGTGCAGACCCATTCACACCGGCGGTTGAGTCGCGTTTGTGGAAGAGTTTGCTTAAGGGGTACGGAAACCAAATTCTAGAGCCCATCTCTTTGCTTGAACATAAAGAGGGTTAAAATAGGACTTCACCAATACCAATATTCCGCTGGATAACGCGAGAAAACGAATTTTAAACTGAATAAAACGATAACCAAAAACCACCTCGTGGATGCCTGTGAAGCTTCGATGGAATGTCGTGACGACAACATGCCCGTAAGAACAGCGCCACAACGGAAAATACGGTCACTCATAGGCATTACTTAGGCCTGGACGTAGTACCGAGGCGCTTTGGTGAAGAAAGCAACAGTAGAGTTGGCCACCGTTTTGGTATCGGGTGGTCTTTCCGGCAACGCTTCTTTGGGGTGGTTTGGAGATTGTGTTCGTGCGATGTAATATTCACGCTACGAAATGTCTGTTTAAACGGGCCCGCATGCCCACCTTTCCTGATCACGAGATAGCCGGCTTCGTCGACCGCAAATGATAACGAACTCGATCGCTAAGAAGTCAACACAACTACCATCGTTGCTAAAACTTGACGGCCCGTACGGCTGTGCAAAGCGGCGCGCATGTAAACAAACCCCTGCGGCGCTTTTCGGGGATGCGGGAGAGAGCAAACGTCCAGGAAGATGCGTTTGAAGCAAAAGAATGTCAGCTAGCAAGATCCACGTAAATACCTGGTCGCGCTGGGAGCAGAACCGCGCTAACATTGCGTTCTTGGTAACCGCTTCGAAAACGGTCTTTTACAACCGATTTTATGAACCGTTGGGCCTCTAGACAATCGCGACTCGATGCTGACGAGACGCTCGCCAGAGAAAGATTGGACCAGCATTGAGTCGCTCCCAAAAACTGCTCTCACTCGACATGTTTTGGCGTATCATGTCGAAATAAAATGGACATCTAAAAAACGTGTACGTACCCAAGTTGCGAAGGCAATCCATATGGCTTTTATTTGAACTCTATAACACACACACACACAAAAAAGGAGATTGAATTGAGGAGAGTGTCTCTTCTCGACGAGATCGTTCGTCACCGCTGCACCTGAAAACAAGCTAGGTACGACGAGGGGAAAGACTGGCCTTCTTACCCCAAATTATAGGTCAGGGTTCAAACTATTCATACGAGGAGGTTCCACAGAGGTCGCGTGGGCGTATTCCATTCATCAAGCCAGCCGATCGTCTGGGGTGCTATGTTGCGCTTTTTGGACTCCCAGGAGACTAGGGAGAGGGAAGTGACGTCAACGACACAGCAAACGCAGATTGGATGTTGATTTCGTTTTCTTCTGTCAACATCCAATCTGCGTTTGCTCTAGTCGTTGACGTCACTTCCCTCTTCCAAGTCTCCTGGGAGTCCAAAAAGCGCAACATAGCCCCCCTGGTCTTGCCACGGATCGTCGAAGAATTTTGCTAAGCCTACTATCGTAGCGTCTTCGGTGGTCGCTTGGTCGGTGGGTTCTTGTCGTTGTAGCTTTTTCAGGTATCCGTGGTTCTAGAGTTTGTCTCCACCGCGGCGTTCAGTTTCAATTACTTTTTTATTCTTCTTTTTACTCGTTGGGACGCGCACAGAGAGCACATAGAAATGCACGTTGGTCGTCGCGACGACGTAAGCGAGCGATGTTGCCGGCGATGTCTTTTTGATCATAAAAAGTGCGTAAAGCTGTGTAGCTGTCGTAGGCGTGGTCGTAGGATCTTATCGTAGCGTGCGAAAAACTTGCGATAATTTCGCTTCGTTAATACGGAATTTTTCTGAGGTTTTGCTGTAAGATCGTTTTGTGAGGAAGCTCTGTTACCTGTTGCGGACGACGAAGACAAGGCAGACGGGGCGTACAAATCCGACTCTAGGCAGAATCGCTTCTCGGCCATCATGGCCTGGTGATGTAGCGGCGTTGGTCGGCGACCATTCACTCGAAGCCGCTCCAGCCGCTCCGCCGGCTCTGCAATATGCTACTACAGCCCTCGGGTACTTCGACTATGCGAGATTGTAACACGCTGACGCCACCAAGTGGCAAGACTCATAACTACGGTATGCTTGGCCCTCCGAGGCATGATGACGTCAAGACCGCGCCGGATCTCCCGAGGTGCATCGCGCTCTTCGACGGCTGATTTTGAAGCGCTCGCCGAAATCCAGGCATTTAGAACGAGAAATACAGCCATCCGCTTGAAATATGACTATGTGATTATCAATTACTGGTTTATCTGATTCCCTTTGACTTATCTCTTGGTGTTTCGTGTATATTTTAAGTTTCGATTCAGTATCCTTTTAAAGGGATACTGAACCAAGGAATTCAGTGTCCATAATAAGTGGCGCACGTTCTTTCCACGAGCCAGCAGCCGCCGGTGTGCGCGAGCACACGCAACAAAAATGACGTCACAGACCTCCATTCGTGGTTGAGATGACAGTGAAATGTATGGGCTTCGGACCAAAGGAGAATAAAGACAAGTTTTTCATCTACACAGTGGTGCCTGGTGTAAAAAGTAAGCGATGAATTGGTCTAACAAGCACGTAGCTTTCACTTGTAGAGATGAAAAGCCTATCTTTATTCTCCTTTAGTCCGAAGCCTATGCATTTCACTGTCATCTCAACCGCGAATAGAGGTCTTTGACGTCATTTTTGTTGAGTGTGCTCGCGCACACCGGCGGCTGCTGGCTGGTGGAAAGAACGTGCGCCACTTATTATCGGCACTAAATTCTCTGGTTCAGTATCCCTTTAAAGATTCAGTGCAATTGCTCGCGATTCGATGGAGAAAACGGGAGGATCTGCTAAGCATTCGCGTTTCGAACGCCGGTGTGAATGAGCGGATTTAAGCTGTCTTTGTCGTGTCGATCAAAGTTGCATCAGAAACAAATTGGAGACAGTTCACTACACATCGTTGCGATGTTTGGGTCTGTACTACACTAATACCACGTTACATGTCGTGCGCTGCAGTTGCGCAACATTTAAATTATGCCGTCTAGCAAACGTTGTGCCTTCAACCTTTTTCCGACTTTTAGCGCACGGTTTCCTAGGCAGCATGGAATTCAAAACAGTAGCCTAACGCTTTGCCTTTGTCGTGCTGATCAATGTTGCTTTAGAAACAGATTGGAAACAGTTCACAACACAACGTTGCGATTTTCACGTCTGTACTACAGTAATACCGCGTTGCATAAGAAACATGTCGTGCGCTGCAGTCGCGCAACATTTAAATTATGCCGCCTAGAAAACGTTGTACCTTCAAACTTTTTCCGACTTTTAGCACACGGTTTCGTAGGCAGCATGGAATTCGAAACAGTAGCCTAACGCTGTGCCTTTATCGTGCCGATCAATGTTGCGTCAGAAACAGATTGGAAACAGTTAACAACGCAACGTTGCGATTTTACCGTCTGTACTACACTGATACCACGTTGCTTAAGCAACATGTCGCGCGCTGCAGTCGCGCAACATTTAAATTATGCCGCCTAGAAAACGTTGTACCTTCAACCTTTTTCCGACTTTTAGTACACGATTTCCTAGGCAGCGTGGAATTCGAAACAGTAGCCTAACGCTGCGCCTTTATCGTGCCAATCAATATTGCGTCAGAAACAGATTGGATACAGTTCACTACACAACATTGCGATATTTGCGTCTGTACTACAGTAATACCACGTTGCATAAGAAACATATCGTGCGCTGCAGTTGCGCAACATTTAAATTATGCCGCCTAGCAAACGTTGCAAATTCAACCTTTTTTACCTTTAGTACACGGTTTCCTAGGCAGCATGAAATTTGAAACAGTAGCCTAACGCTGTGTCTTGTTGTGCCGATCAATGTTGCTTCTGAAACATATTGGAAACAGTTCACTACACAACGTTGCGATTTTCGCGTTTGTACTACACTGATACCACGTTGCTTAAGCAACATGTCGCGCGCTGCAGTTGCGCAACATTTAAATTATGCCGCCTAGCAAACGTTGTATCTTCAGCCTTTTCCGACTTTTAATACACAGTTCCCCAGGCAGCATGGCGTTCGAAACAGTAGCGTAACGCTGCGTGTTTGTCGTGCCAATCACTGTTGTGCGAGAAACATATTGGGGACTGTTGCAACCCCCGGTCACAGTCCCAGTTTCGCGGCGCTGACATTAGCGTCGCCACCATCAGCGGCGCTGTGCATAGCGTCGCCACTGGCAGCAGCGCTTAGGTGGTGGGGGGCTCTCATTAATACAAAAATACAAATATAAAACTTTGTCCGCTAACAGTAATTTCAACAAAACGTCTTCACCGCACCATGAAAATAAAATGCAATTTATTTTATATATTTCTTTCTGTTCGTTCTGTTTTCGGTCTAAA